GGCGGTGGCTATAGGGAACAAAAGACAGCTCTACGGACTAATAAAAGAAACTGGAATTAATAAGTCAAGTGTAAGTCAGACTATTTCCGAAAAAGACGACACCCTCATCTGCTCTCAGTCCAGACGTTAAGAACGATGGGCGGAACATTTCAGAGAACAGTTCAACTGGCCTTCAGCTACTCTACAACTACCCTCCATTCCCAGACAGTGTGAATGGTACATTGAAGTAGGTCCTCCAACTCTAGCAGAAGTTCAAAAGGCTATAGTTAATCTGAAAGGAGGAAAGGCAGCTGGTCCAGATGGATTGACTCCAGAGGTCTTTAAGTATGGTGGTCCAGTTTTAGCGATTAGGTTGACTAGTATTGTATCTGTAATCTGGGAGTTGGACGTAATCCTATCTGACTGGTCTCAACCACTGTCTCAATATATATGAAGTGGTCAAAATCATTCTGTGACAACCATAGAGGGATTAGTTTGACTAAGATAGCATCTAAAATACTGGTCTCAATAATTATCGGACGCCTAACAAAGAATCGTGAACTGCAAACACGAGGAAACTAGACTGCCTTCAGACCTGGTCGTGGCTGCGTCGACCACATATTCACCATTCGTCAGGTCCTAGAACACAGACATGCTTATCGGCGTCCGACATTGGTGGTCTTTCTTGACTTAAAAGCAGCATTCGACTCGATTGACTGAGAGATTTTTTGGCAGTGTCTGTCATTGAAAAACGTACCTGAGAAGTACATAAACCTTGTGAAGGCTCTTTATTCGAACACTACTAGTCGTGTCAGAGCTTATGGCGAACTGTCATCTGATTTTGCAGCCTCAGGTGGTGTCTAAAAGGCCTGTCCACTATCTCCATTTCTGTTCAGTTTTATCATAGACCTATTGATGGAAATAACATTCTCGTCGACTGAATTCTCGGGTATTGATCTCCTTCCAGGAGATCCACTTATCTACTTAGAATACGCAGATGATATAGTCCTGTTTGGCGAAGACGCAGATAGAATGCAGAGTCTTCTGGTAGCACTGAGCAACAATGCCAGAATGTTTGGAGTGCACTTCTCTCCCTCTAGATGCAAGTTGTTGCTTCAGGACTGGTCTGCGTTAACACCTGAACTAAGGATAGGGAGTGAAGTAGTCGAAGGCGTTGACAACTTAACTTATCTTGGATGTCTGATCAGCCCTAATGGGTTGGTGTCTGACGAAATCTCAGCACGGATTCGAAAAGCTCGCTTGGCTGTTGCCAACTTACGTCACCTATGGCGAAGGCGAGATATCCGTCTATCAATCAAAGGACGAGTATACTGCGCGGCAGTCCGTTCTGTTTTAATTTACGGCAGCGAAACATGGCAATTAAGAGTAGAAGACACTCATGAGCTACTAGTATTTGACAACGGATGCCTTAGAAATATTGCTGGCGTCTGTTGGGATCACTGGATAAGTAATAGTGAAGTTAGACTCAGTGTATTAGGGAATGATGGTAAATCAGTTGATGAGGTTGTGAATCTTCATCGACTGAGATGGTTGGGCCACGTGTTACGTATGCCTGAACACCGATTACCACAACGTGCAATGCTATCCGGTATTGGAGATGGTTGGAAGAAAGTTAGGGGCGGCCAAACCAAAACGTGGCATCAGTGCTTGAAGTCACTAACTTCTAGTATTAGATGTAGACTACTTGGTTGGGGTCCGCGTGACTTTCGCCACCAATGGTTGGAGACTCTTGGTGACATGGCTCAGAATCGATCACAATGGCGTCGGTGTATACACTCTCTATCTTCCCTTAAATTAAGAGATTAAAATTGCTTCATATCTTTCGTTCTACAAACTAATCCTTTCTTCCTGTATTATATCCTTATTGCAATCTTTCTTTTAGATATTACCACCTCTGAATTAACTACTTTTATGAATCCGGTGTCCATCTTGTTGTGTTAATGAGGTATGACAGCTTGGACCGATGCATATATGTGCCTGGTCCTATGTTGTAGCTGACTGACTGACTGACTGAATACGACCATTAACACTAGTGGATACATATTTGTGTAAGCGATAAGGTTTAGATTTTGACAAAACATGTACACAATTGATCCTTCACGACATTCAGTAATATTATGAAGGTTTTCTGTGTTTGCCCCACAGTTTGTGCATTTATGTCCATTGAATGGGCAAAAACGGGAGAAACGCCATTCTCTACAGTTCCAATAATTAGTGGGAGGCCCTGTAGAGCGATATGAATCAGAGTCGTGGACACTATATATTCGATTCGGGCGACGAAAAGTTTGTGAATCATGCTTCGCGATACTAATAGTACCCTCTGAACGAGAACTTTTGATCAAATCAAAAAAACTGAGATTTGAATGTCCGATCATTTTAGTATCATTTTCACGATTATTAATATGACGATATTAATTTGTGATATCCTTCAACGTAAGGTTGAGATCTGGCTCGCTTCTGCTTAAGATTCTAATACGAATAGCTGAGTTTGACGATTATTGCAACACGCATACAACGATAAGACACTTAAATTGTTCGTCAGATAGTGAACGCAGCCTGAAACTCTCGCAGTGCTCATCAACAAATGCTGCATACGAAAAAAATCATCGTCAGGTCCTTTAACAGTTCTAAGACAACTGTATAGCAAATCAAATAAGGAAGCCTGATTAGTAAAAATTCGTTAGTTTTTGTACAGTAAAATCAAAGGAAAAATCGTTGGGTTTATTTGGCAAGATAAGGTTCGAATACTTTCCATATTCAGATGATTCAAGCTTACGAAGTAGAATTTCCACCCTCAAAAAGTCATCGTGATAAGAAAGCTCAACTTGGAAAATGTCTTCGTACCTACTGAACTATGATTCACTTGTGACACCGTCATCGCAATCAAAACGAAACTTGCTCATTGAATTGGTCAGTGATTAGGTAGTCGAGCCCCTTAATCCGGACACCTGTACTGAATTTTCTTGAACCGACAAGCTCTGTACCATCATTTCTATCGTTTTCAATTGTGATGCTTAGAATTCTTTTTACTGCTGCTGTGAAATCGGTCTGCGTTGATCTTTTGAAAGCGATATTATAGAATTGGTGTTTTTGCATAGGTTTGTAAAAAATTTAACTTCACCAGAAACTGCTATGATGGGTGATGTCCGAAATCTGACACTAATACATTACGTACTACACGCTAACTCCTCATCTGACCTTTTCATAATGCTACTTATCATATCATAGAGAATAATATGAATTCGTTTGACTTTATGGTCTCTCATCAGCTGTTTTCAACCATTGATGTGTAATAAAATAATATTGAGTTATGATATAATGTGGAATTATTGACGATGGTGACGAAAGGAATTAGAATATTAAATATTATCAACAATAGCTATTTAGATATATCTGCACAAGAACAAGTGTGAGGTCTCAGAATTAGGAAAACATAAGCAGAAGAGTGGGACATTGGTTAAATAAAGTTCAGAAACAGATTAGGATAGATCATGTGATAAATTATAGAAGTTATGAAAAGTTTACATCGGTTTCAGATAGCGTAAAATAGATATAGAAGATTCAGAGCAATGAAATGAAAGTTGTTCAAAAATTCGAGACTGAAGGATTACGCAATAATTATGCGAGATTTGAAGAGTTTACATAATTTTCGAGGACTAATTGAATGAAAGGATGATTTTGATGTACATATTCCTCTTCACTACTCAAACACCAATAATAATAATAAAATAATAGTAATAACAACTATGATTACTCTTACTTTCCTTAAAATCTTCTAAAAGCTTCCACATTGATGTTTGAATTATTTTTTCTGGTTAGCGCTTTTTAGAGAGTTAGTTTTCTACAGGAAGGGGTCGCTAATCCCATGTCCAACTGTTCTCCCTTATCCGGGATGGGAACCGGCAGTAGCCTCAGAGAGGCTCCGGGCGGAACTCAAAACAACTACCAATCATCACTGAAGTCAGAATTTTTAATACAAATGTCAAGACAGTTCTACTATATGCAGTGGAAATTTGGAGAAATACGAAAACCATCATCCGGAAGGTACAAGTCTTTGTCAACAGTTGTCTATGCAAAATACTTCGGATCCCTTGGTCAGATATTATCAGCAACAAACTACTGTCGGAGAGAACAAACCACTGTCCAGTAGAGGAAGAAATCAGGAAGAAGCACTGGAATTGGATGGGATACACATTGAGGAAAGCACCCAACTGCGTCACAAGGCAAGCCCTCACTTGGTATCCTCAAGGCCAGAGGAGAAGAGAAAGACTAAAGAACACATTACGCCGAAAAATGGAGACAGACATGAGATGAATGAACAACAATTGGATAAAACGAGAATGAAAGACTCAGGATAGAGTGGGTTGGAGAATGCTGGTCAGTGGTCTTGCTCCATTATGGGTAACAAGCATTATCTGTCTTTTTTCAATTAATTAGTCAATCATTCAGTATTATTTTCATAAACACTTGGAAAATTACATTTATGTGTAACATTTTTATTTGATTTATAGTTACCTTAGTATTGCTTAGCTTCTCTATATTAGTGAAGAGACAGGACCAAAAAAATTAATTGAAAGGAAATTTCTTCATATTCCATTCCACTGACCACTTTTTTGAGGATACATAAGATCATCGTAATTAGTGATTGACAACCCTAATTAGCCTGTTTCCATTAAAATCCTTATCCTATACACTTTACTCCTCAGTTTTATACTTTCCTTTTTAAACATTCCTTTCTAACTTACTTTGTTATGTTTAGTATTCGTAACGATTACTGCTAGTATTGTAACAATGTTTAATTTGGTTTCATTATATTGATTCTCACTTAATTACATTTGTAATGATACTTGGTAATTGGGTTATCTATTGCAAAATATAATGTCATATTCTCACTTAATTTTACTATGTTCAATCAGTTAATATTATTTATATACCAACTCAACTGATATACCAAGTTACAAAAATCAGTTATTTGATAAGTAGTTCCTTAAATAGTCTAATTAACATTGATAATTATGATAAACATCTGTTGACACCAAGCGAATTTGTATTTATAATTATTGACTATTTAGAATAATGTATTATTACATAAGAGTAGAACAAGATAAATATATTTGATTTTGATGGTTTTTGTTGATGATGTCGTTCAGAGGAATGATGAAAGCTCCATGATCAAAATATCCAGCTCAGAGAACAAAACTTCATCGAAATCATCCAGTTGAGCTATAAATCTTCTTCACCATCTCAAATATATTTGATTTATATTTAATGAAAGACATATTTAGTGAGATTTTTCTTTTTGTTCTCAAACAAAATGAAAATAATGATGATGAATAAATAAGATAATTCATTCTTATCACAGACAGAAATAGTTATTCAATGCTCATTGATCATAAAGAAATAAAGAAATATCAAAGAACTATAAAATAAAATAGAATAATTACGTAACTACAATGAGATCAATAGAAATTAAGCTTTACGTGTTTTAAAGTTATGAAATAAGATTAGAAACTTTTGAAGTTTCATAAATTCTCTCTCACTTATTAAAATAAAACTGGTTCTCGTTGAATACCACTGGGTATCATTGGACATGATGACAAATGATTATTTGTATTTGTACCATTATCAACAGTTGTAGTATAATCAAGACGTTTACGTATATTATGAATTTCTTCATAAATTTGTAAAGCATTACGTTTCTGTTGAGTATCATAATGTAGTTGAACAATTTGCTGTTCTAAATTAACCAATATACTCCTGGAATATTTCCGGATAGATTGAAATAAATAAAGATTGATTATTCTCACATGTTAGAAAAGTTTAACATTTTAATTTTAGAAAAAAGTATATTATACGGTACATACTACGTTTGTCCAGGACAGAGTGGGTTGGAGAATGCTGGTCGGCGGCCTATACTCCATTGGGAGTAACAGGCGTAGTAGTTAAGTAAAACATACTACGTTACATTTTATCTCAATTTAAGATGCTGAACACATTCATTTAACAAGATTTTGTTTTACCATATGGTTAAAAGTTCAGTAATTGAGTCATTAATTCGGAAGTTAGTCATTTCACCTGTGAATGAAATTTGCTAAAGTACGCGAATCCTCCTCATTCATATACTATATTTCACAATTTTCTTTCTTTACTCGAATACTGACTTGATTTTATAGACATATTTTAACTAATAAACTGAAAAAGTCTGGTGTTATAGTTATTTTGCTGTAGAGTTGATTCATAATCCAAACTTAAACATGTACGAAGTTAAGATATCTTTCATAACTAATAGAACACAAGTGAAAAACAACATTGATATATAGTTTTCCAAAGAATTTCTAAATATCTCTACCATGTAGGCAGGAAAATCATGAATTCCGCGCGGCGGGATCTTGGATGCGCACTGCTGAGAAGTCCCACACTACGATGAAACGACCGTCTAGTAGTTCCAGGTTTCCCATGGTGGTCTAGCTTCAATTAACTCATGAAATCAACTGTTAAATTACTATAATATTTACAAAACCCCTTTCTGGGAAATTATGAAATGCCAAAATTTAAAATAAAACGAACGTAAACCTATTTAACGCATTAAAATTGCTATAAAAAGTAAATTCTATTGAAATAACTACTTTTCATGCGGGATCAATACAAGATATATGAAAATAACTTGTAATGCTAGTTCCTGAGTGATTATTTATAAATACTTCTTTTTCAGTTCAATCAAACTAACTACACTGAATTTCATTGAAATACGTCCTAAGCTAAAGTTGGTTCAAAGGATTTGTTGGAAGTTTTTCAGTTCCTATATTTAGCATTGCTAATCAATATTTTAGGTGCAAACGATTAGATAACTGTATAGGTCTATACTCACTGTAAACACCTAGTAACCTAACGACTGCATTTGTCTGATCAATGTTATCCCTGTGAGGAACTCGTACTTTTGTCTGTATGGTTACTCTCCATTCAATTTCAAAATGAATCAAACTAAGAGAAACTATACCCTCATGTTTTAAAGCAACATAGGATTTTCAATCCCATTAATAAATCTTCCGACTTCAATGAAACAATTTCGAATATATCCTTATTTTCATTCTATAAGCTTTTTGATATAAGTGTATTTAAACTGATCATAAATGTCAGTTTTCAAAATGCTTATGGTCATATTTTCCTCTTTTAAAACTTCATATCATGCTACTGGAACTAATCTACAATAAGTAGTATAAAAATGTAAAAAAAAACTAGGCAAGCATAAAAAATGGAAATACCTAGATTTTGTAAGTTTTTCTTCTAACATATCAATACAATTACGTAGGCTTGATAACTCTTCTAGCAGGCTTAATTGTGGATCATCTCGAATATTTTCATTCCCCGATCTATTATGACGTTTCTCCAGTCGTGTTTCGGCTAATTTTAAACTTTCTTTTTTTGCACGTACAGTATCTTCTAAACTTTTTATATCTTTTAAATGTTCATCTCTTTCATTTTCAGTCTACAATGATAAAACATGCTGATGACTAGTGTACGAAAAAAAGTTTAGAATATAAATTCACCTAGTATTTTTCACTTAAATCTTCCCATTGATCTTTAGGACTGCAATTGAACAATCTCTTATTGGAGTATGTGCATACTGTGCGAATTGTCTCGATATTGCCTTAATTCACAAGTATTCTAAGCAAAGATGAATAGTGGCTAGCAAGGGAATCCATGACGCGCCTTTCATTCTAAGTGGATAACGCGACGAAGTTTGAAGAGAACGGTACTAAGTTCGAATCCCAGAGTGAACATCAACTCTGGGATGTAGTTACATCTAGCTGACGAGTCCAAAATAGGACGAAACATGCGTCCTGGATTCCACTGCTAGTCACTATCCATCTTTATTTAAAAAGTTTAGAATATAATTTAACAAATAAATAATTTTTTATACCGAAAGTTATTTAAAACATTTTAATGAAAATATTTCATGCATATTATGAAACTGTCTAAACAGTCCCATTAAAGATTTTCGATTCAAGTTCTCAATAATTTTTAAGCATGATTGTTGTATAACTTGAAAATTGTCAGCGTTTTAACTTAAACTATCTGATAACTTCCTGATAAACATTATTACACCTTTAAAATAATTGTTTTAAGTTAAAAAAAAAATTAAAATATTTTGAATGGAAAGTAATTAAATGTAATATCATCGAGTAAATAGTTGTTTGACACAATAGTTGACCATTTGTCGTTCATATAATCAAAAATATTGTCACGTAAACGAGTTTAGCTGACAGAATTCTAATAGTTTTTTCTTACATTTGTCCTGTAAATTAGAAATCTAGTAGTTCGGTTTCGTATTACCCTAATATTCAGTGAACCGAATGAAAGCTACCGTTTGAAGTAATCGTAGTTTATGTATCTTTTAAACACACTGATAATCAGTAAAATAACGAATTTTCAGCACTGATAAATTTGTTGCGGCTGAAGAATTCTTTTTCAGAAAGTTATAATTAAGCTACTCATGAAGCTAAACTGAACCGCGTATTGATTTCGAATCCTTAAACCTTGTAATACATGAATTTCTTCAGGTTGACTTTGTTATAGTTTACCAAGAGCCTCGATTAATTGACTAAGTGACATCATGCAGGCAAAAAGAGTCTTGGTTCCTAGATCCAGTCTCGTGGGGGAACGTGTGGTAAGTTTTGTCCATAAATTCCAATATCGTAAGAATCAGTTATCCAATGTCCTCAGATTCTTAATAATTCTCCAGCTGATATAAATAATCAATAGGCACCGGTATGTTTATCATAAGAAATTAAAGAGTTAACAAATTTTAAAGCACACCCAAATGAAGATGACTCAAACTATGAATATATGAAAATCATTTCAACTAATAAGATTCATAGCTTACACTTTTAATTTGATATTCGATTTCACGTAATGATCTACGAGTATCATGCATACGCCTACGTAGTTCATTATCTACTTGACTAGCTTTACTCGCCATCCTGTTGATTGCTTTATGCAGACTATTATGCAATCGATGTAGTAAATCATCAGTCTTTTCAATTACATTTTCAGCATTTCCTAAAGTTTGATAACTTATGTTCTCCCATGTTTGCAAATCTATTGAGCTATGTAAATATAGGGAAAAAGAATAACTGAATGAATGATTGAGCATTATGGTGGAACAATTGAATAAATTTAGTGGTAAAATGATAAGTTTTAATTTGTTCACGAGTAATATTCATCATAGATTGATCTTAGTTAGATTACTACTGAAAACTAGGAAGCAATTGACTGCTGTTTCGTCCTAATATGTGGCTCCTTGGTAGTGTGTGCTCTCACCTCTCGCAGAGTTAAAACCCGTGACCTTCATGTCTCTAATGGTTTCTAGTAGCTCTTCATTCGGTGTGATATCTAAAGCCCTGGACCCAACCTCTTGAGGAGTCATTGATGAACACTTATGAGGAGTTCCAAATTAGGATGAAACAGTTGCTTAATAGTGCTTGCTTCAATGGTACTCATAAAAAATCAATCTGTAACGAATGCAACGTAGAAATTAAACCGATTTCCACAAAATCCCTTCAACTTAGCGTTAAATTTGTTAGTTGAAAGGTAGTTTATTGTCACAAATTCAAATTTATTAAAACAAAGATACTCTAATATTTTCGATGATAAGTGTCTGAACACTTAACGGAATGAACATATACTTCCATATTCATACCATATTGTTCTGTCAATAGACACGGAGAGTAATTGCAGCCTCAATTTATATGTTATGAACAGTATGAAAAGCATTTCTGTTAGTTTTAATTCATGATTATCAAGCGCAATCTTTGAATCCAGAGGCCGTGTTTAAGTTCAAATTGTATAATTAGAGATTTCCTCAAAGAATTGTTCGTGGAAGAGACAGGGGGTTAATGCTGAGAGTAAGTGGAATATATAAAGTTAATTCAATGAGTGTCAATTGTCATCGATCAAGGTGAATAGGATAAGTTTTATGTAAACTTAATCACCAGATTTTGGAAATCCGATGTTGGTTAATTTAGCTTGGGATTAGTAGAAAGTTAGAAATGATCAAAATCAATTTGATAGATGCAGACTAACTGGTTTAAGTCAGTGCAAGAACCATGGTCATTGTTTGAAAACCTTAGGTGATTGTGTTCAAAATCAGTTTCAGTGGAGCTTATCCACTCACTTTCTATATTTCCTTTTACTTCTAATTTTAATAATAATTCATACGTTCCATGCCTTACTGTCCATTCTACTTTACAATCGCTGACACTACTATTATTTCAACCCACATGTCATGGATCTTGTCAATTTCATAAGACTATATTATTGCGATGCAGAAGCCTAGACCATTGCGTATATGTACAAAGTCCTATAGTTTTGACTGAGTGACTGACTGAATCCCATTAGTACTCTATAGAGTAAAGGAAAAAATCTTGAAATACATAGACGTTGAAATCTTTGAAAAAAACGTCAAGAAATCTGTTCAGTATTCTGAGCTGTCTCTTATTCAGTCACCATGTAAAAAAGAAAAAGATTTCAGTAAGCTTCGTTTATAAGAAAATTCACGCAAATTTCAATTTTTTAAGAAGACACTTAGTGTCAATATACTCATTATGCTTATTAAGAAAAATGGATTTACATTCTTCTATTTTTCAAATGGAAAGTAAGTGAATCGGTCAGTTACAACGTATGACCAGGCACATATATTCATCGGTCCGAGTTGCCATACCTCATCAGCATAACAGGATGAACACCAAATTCATAGAAGTAGTTACTTCAATGGTAGTACCATATATAAGAAAGATTGTTCATAAAGATGTAGTAAAGGAAGAAAGAATTAATTCATGAAAAAAAAGTATAAAGCAATTTTAATTCCACGGTTCAAGGGAAGATAAAGAGTGCATACATCGACGCCATTGTGATCGATTCTAAGGCATGTCGCCCAGTCTCCAACCATTGGTTACGATAGTCACGCGGACCCTAACCATGTAGTCTGCATCTACCAACATGTCTAATAATAGAAGTTAGTGACTTCAAGCACTTATACGACGTTTTGGCTTGGTCGCCCCTAACTTTCTTCCAACCATTCCCTACACTAGTCAGCATTACGCGTCGTGGTAATCGGTGTTCAGGCATACGTAACACGTGGCCCAACCATCTCAGTCGACGAAGATTTACAACCTCATCTACTGATTCACCATCGTTCCCCAATACTCTGCGTCTAACCTCACTATTACTTACCCAGTGATCCCAGCAATTGCACGCCATATTTCTAAGACATCTGTGATCTTACGCATATCTTCTACTCTTAATGTCTACGTTTCTCGGCCGTAAAATAGAACAGATTGAACTACTGCTCAGTATACTTGTCCTTTAATTGATAGATGGATATCTCGCCATCTCTATAGGTGACGTAAGTTGGAAGTCGGTGAGATTATATTAATACACCAATAAAGATATGAACGTGACAACATAGCCAGAGGATCAAACTGTATCAACTCATCAAACGTTTCCATGAATAAATATCCTGTTTGCAATCAGTGATGGTTATTCACTCACCTTTCTGGTAAACGTTCACAGAACGGTTTTTGACTAATACAAGATGACTTTTCATTCAAATTATAAACATCAATATCGATATGTACAGCTTCATTTTTATTAAAAATATCTGAATAAAATGGTTTTGCTACATTATTTATTTCAACTAATAAATGGATTGCTTCGTCGATTTGTCGTTGAAGATCTGTTTGTATTTCTTTCAATAGATCACGTTCCTGATAAAATTAAAAATGAATATTTTACTAGTCGAATACAGTGAAAATTTTCAAAGAAATTTTCTCTATTTAATCGTTCAGTTATTCAATACTAAAATGTTATCAATTAATTATATGAATTTTAATTAATGATCAAGTAGAGTGTACAACAGTTCGCACTGTACAGTTTTACTTTTGTGAGACGCGACCAAGTCACTAACTACAATGCCTTTACGTACTTATTAACTTAGGTCTGTTACACCTTGTGGAGGAGCGTAGGCCACCCACCAGAATTCTCCATCCAACTCTGTCCTATGCAATCCTTTCCAGTTCTTTCCAATTACTATTTATCCTTTTGATGCCTGCTTCCAATCCCTGACGTAATGTGTTCTATGGTCTTCCTTTTTTCCTGTTTCCTTCAGGATTACAAGTATGGGCCTGCTTCATGATGCAGTTTGATGATTTCCATGATGTATGTTCTATCCACCCCGAGGGTCTTTTTCTAATTTCCTCTTCGTCAGAAAGCTGATTTGTTCTCTCCCATAGTGGGCTGTTGCTGATGTTATCCAACCGACGGACATTGGGCATTTTGTGTCGACAAGCGTTTATATATACTTGTACTTTTTTAAGTGTAGTGCCCAAATATTACATGAATAACCAGAGATATTTAATACTGTCATGTTATATTGCTCACATTGTTATGTGACATGCAAGAATTGGATATGACAGCTCCGTTTTCATTTCTGGTCTAATGAATGGTAAAACATGTATACCTGAGTTCATTATTTCAATTTCTTACAAGAAAAAAAGTGAAACGTTTTCCTTGATTGTTAATTTCGTCTTTTGTTATTTTCTCTATTCCATACATTGATATCAAGAATTGGTTCTAAATGGATAATCATTATTTGATTAAATTTTACATTAGTTCTGAAACTCTATGTATGCTGCCATGCACAAACATAGGAGATCCTTCAACGTCCTACTTTTCAGTTTGATAACTTGTGAAGAATAGTTCAGTTTGCAGGTAATTTTATTTATAGAACTACATCAACCAGAAAACCATTAGGAAATAGGGAGCATTGAGTAATTCCCTCAACTTACATTTGAACTCTTCATTAGTGTCTTCCACACACCTATTCGAACCCAAAATCTTAACGTTAAGTGGAGAGCTGATAGTCTAGGAGACGATTGGTTTACCACTTTTCTGTACTCACACACCATTTAAGATGAAAAATTCTAAACGAGGCACGTTGTCGAAAGAAGTCAGCCAAGCACTTAATCGAGATTGCAGATTACACATCCTTATCTATGTTAGCGGAGTAATATATATATAAATGATTTGTTTAAATGATTGTTCAGTTTCGACGATTACACCGCAACTTAGTGAGTTAAAGTTTTCTCTTATTATTAGCTGTGTGACGTTCGCTCAGCTGATGGGCACACATTTTTATCACTAAGTTAAATTATTTGTTGTGTTTTAAAAAAATATTCAATATCAACTAAGGGCCTAAAATGCAAGCTCCAATATAAAGTTATGATGGTAAATATTTCAAAGTTGATCTAATCTGGTAATAGATAAATTATAAATGGTCGAATATGAATTCGTCCAATCAGTTATTATGCAATACATAATCAAATAAAATTATTGATTCTATTATTACATTGAGTTTTAAAATCATAATGACTGGTTATTTAAATATGAGGGCAATATTGAAACATGATTATTCACTATAGCTATCATTCTTCTTCATATTTCAGTTTCAATCATAATGACATCAATATCAGTAACAGACGTTAGACGTTAGTTAAACTGGATGGTTTGAATTCGATTACAGTTTCCTCAAAATTACAGTTACACATTCCCATACGGATGAATATTAATTAATGAGAAACATATATCTAAGATATTCTGACGATTGCCTCCAACTAACTAGAGGCGAAGGAGCCTAAGATATTGAATGATTTATACTAATGGTTACATTGTCATTAGATTATTATAATTCGAATGGTACTAAGAATTAGAAGTCATGAAATTAATTACAAATCTCTGACTAATTAATATAAATCTGATAATTAACTTTCTTCATGTTCCCTATATACATTGTCTTTTAGCACTTTTTTAAGTATATTTCACATTATTTATATGTTGAAACATTGCTAGGCCAGCCTGTATCTTTACTATTAATCACTACAGTATCCATATTTTGTAAATAACTAATTTTTGAATAATGATAGTTGCTCATTATGTAATTAACCCTTGACTAAACTGCAGATTTTATTAATCAATTGAATAACTGTCATTATAAAGAATTACACCTGATATCTCCTATATTACTTACTTATTACTTTAAGTAACTTGATATTATAGTACAGTTTGTTTGTTGTTCGATGGTTGAAGGGTATATTCAAAAATACATGGGCCTACATTTTATGTTACTAAATATTTGTCATTACAAAGTGTTCATAATCACGTGGTAACTAATCCTCTTTGTGAGATTTGAATCCACGTAACTTGATACACCAGTCAAGGATTATCATAGGGCGGCCTGCTTGAGCATCTGGGCTACCTGTTCCTGCCATCTAGATATTTCAACAAGTTATCTATTGTTGTTTGTTTTAATATATCATTATGTTTATCAATCGCATAACCTATTCTGCTGCGTTTCTGAAAAGTGTACAACCTTTCGTTGTCAAAGTTACAGAAAACTCAATAAGAGACAATATGGTTGCTGGCAATGTACAACGAAAAGAATGTACATTATTCAGTTGTTCATTCACTGAAGTGCTAACATCTAACTGGCGATTCTTCAATACTTATCGCCAGGACCGACCAAGAAGAAAAAAACGGAAACTTGTTGAAATACTTTGCGCTGAGAATTCTATATTGTACCAAAATTATAATATTGAATAAAGCTAATAATAATAATAATAATAATAATAATAATAATAATAATAATAATATCTTTTCAGTATGAGTGTTAGTCTTAATCCCTTAATGATAAGTTTATTCAGTTGGCTAATAATCCTGTTATCCGAACCTATTCACTTCCTATATTTCAGAACTAGTTTTGTGAGCAAACTAAAAGTTTGAGTAAATTAATGACTACAATATTTTATATAATAAAATTTATGGCTATTTACACAACAAAGGTTACCTTGTTTAATTCCTTAAAAACAGGATCAATAATATTCTCATCATTTTGTCTATGATCCAAATGTGTTAGAGATTCAATGTTGACATCAAATGAATCATTTAATTTAGTCATAAATTCTTGTGTTTTATGTTTAACAGCTTTTAAATGAGTATCTTTTTGCTTGAGTTTATTTAATTGAGTAATTAATTTATCACGCCATTGACGTACAATCCATATACGATCAGATAAATGATTCTTTGTTTGGAGTTGATCATATCTATTTAAACAAGACAAATATGATATGACAAGAGAATAAAAATAGATTTATACCAACTGACGATTCAATAGTGGCTACTATAAATATGGTTGATCAAGACTTTTGAATTTCATAGTTTGCATCACAGACTGATCTTAGTTGGACAACCGTTGAACACCGGGAGGCATTGGCTCAGTCTTTCGCCACGTTATGAGATTCTTCAACACTTCGTGTACATGATCAAAGTCATGACCATTGGGTCTCTCGGTGAGCGCTCAATCTTTATATTTCTAAACTGCTAAATTCATTCAACTTGCAACTGTAAACCAATGGATGCTAAACAAAAATCATGAACATGAGTCTCTTTATGAATTCATTTAGTTGAACTCTAATGGAATATATGACTACTTAGCCGAAATTTCTGCACACCTTAATAATTTGCACCTAACCATTCAATAATGCTTTACAATAATCTCCTTTAAAAAAAAACTACAAATGGTCACTAATATAGTGTACGACACTTTAAAACAAATATTTACTGAAATTAACAGTGATGAGTATGAAAAATCATAAACAATGTCCAATTTGTGATTATTTTTCAGCAATGAGCAATATCAACTCAAGTACTATTATAGACCAGAAAACAAAGAACATTTATTTTATATTCATTCAAAACTCTTCCATGTACCTTTAAGACGTTCATGGCTGCCAACAATCGTGGCACGTTTTAATGGTTGGATAGGAATTACATGACTCGTATTTTTAAATTTAGTCGATCAACAATATTTTGAGATGGTGAGGAGTATTTATCACTCAAGTTGATGATTTGAATGGAGTTTTTTTCTTTGCGCTGGATGTTTTTATCGTGGAGATTTCATTGTTCTTTTGGTTAATATCATCAGCACAAACTTCAAATAGAAGTGAAATGTTAAGAAAAACAGTGAAAGCTTCACAATCCAATGATTCAGCTTGAAGAACAAGACTCCGCCTAATTCACAATACTGCATGACCGTCATTTAATAATATCAATGACATTTGTTCTTCTCTGTTATACACAGCTTTACACTCAAACTTCAGTAATTCGTTTTCGTTTACAAAAACTGTAACTTAAAAAACTATTCACCATCGTTGGTGATATTCTCACTGCATTATGACTGTCAGATGCAGGCCATTGAGGTAAAAGTCAAGTTACGTTGTTAGTATTCGATTACAAATGTTGTTTTAAGCACTGACTCCATCAAATATAACCACTGAGTAACTATTCTAGGGTTAAGGCTTACTGTATCGGTTAAATTTAATAAAGAAGTTGGGGCTGTAAAACTTTATTCAATAACATGAATTTTGAATCCCTGAATCATGACCGCCCACCTCTCACATCTATATTTCGCAATGATTGGCATACCAGTAAGCTGAAATTTTGTTAACGATAGCCATATTGAGACTTCGTCTGAACTGTTTCAATGATTTCAGACTTCTAGCACAATAACTGTAGCTCATATTCACGAAAATTCCATAGTAATAACATACTATAATTTGTTCATTATTTTCCTCTATACCTCGAGCTTTAAAAGTTTTCAAACTTTTTATGCTAGGGTGTTATCTTTTCAAGCTTACTTCTGTGCATTTTAATCTTATTACTCTAATGCCATGATTATTCTGGATTAATTGATAGTTTCATATCATTGTGTTGGTGTAAAGTGCGATAATATAGATTCATGCCTATCCTTCCTCAAGTTCTCATTGTTTATAATCTATTGGTTAAAAGACACTCAATCCACTGCAGATTTTACTGAAGCTGATGGTATAAGCTGAGTAAAGAAAAAACCTTTCAATTAACTTCTCATTATAACTAAACAATAATAGAATGTAAAATTCGAGAAAAGATGATGATAGCAAGCACTTTCTCAAACCCAGTTTGTCAGACCTGCCTATAACATGGTCATTGTGGAATGAGGAATAAATATCAGACGATAAATAACTTATCTCTAGGCCGCAGAAGAATGATCATATAAGTGTAACGAAATAACTAAAAAGCACCTAATGGAAAGAATATAAACAGATTTACCAATGGCACTCTAATGTTATGTTCTATGTGTTTTAAACTTTATTACTAGATCAAACGCATTAATTTTAACGTACTTTGTATTTATATCTGTTTCGATGCGTGTAGCTCTAACCAATTGACGATTATCATATGATATATTTCGATAACCTTCAGCCGCCTTTCTTTCAGTGTGGAGATTTTCAAACCAACTAAGATACGTTCTTTTTGTATCCGGTTTTGTTACAGTTGCCATGTAAAATCTGACAGTTCGACAGTTTACCTAGAAAAACTTAAGACCAAGTTCTACGACTAAAAATTAGTTTGGATCAAAGTTTGAATTGCTTTAATGAAATTAAATTTTATGAAAAAACGGATTCGGAAGTAAAGTATAGTTTATTAGATTTACAAAGCCCAAATTATACTGAACGTGGGCGACTGGTCAGGCTAAGTGATTATTAAAGATGAGAAAACCCAACCTGCTAATATATGCAGCAATAAGGGTCTGTTAAACGACTCGGTCATCCCATGCAAAAAGGAATGGCTCAACTTTGACACATAGACCCATTTGGTTAGACATTTGTTTTGTATTTTTGATCCGTTCCGCCAGTTCCTGTGAGAAGACTCATGGCTTGAAACTTCACCTTGCTATATTTAAAATCTTACGTCGACATCTTAGACGGAGTCCTAATTCATTAAAGTCTGATCGGTTGGTTAGATAAATGGATAGTCTGAAGCTTTGGAAGGCCATTGGAAAACAAGTACATAAACTCATGATTTTTTCTGAATATGAATTTAATTGTGAAACTATGCATCATAATAATAATACTTTGTCTTATAACTTTTGACAAGCGAAAGAACAATTTACAGGGCAGTTAGATCTTCATTTCTGCGACCATAATATTCGAACTACCCGATATTAGCTTTGTATACTACTTTCAATTAGTTTCGTACTCAATATTAGTATTTGGTATTTCATTGTTTTATTACTACGATAACACCCTTCGAACATACTTTTGATAAACTGTAGCGGTAAATAAATCCCCAAAATAAATAGCTCTAAGTTTTCGACATTGGGTGCTGACCATATGTTTTAGTGGACTCATCTAGCTGAAGGCGCTCGGTCATGCATCCGCTCCAGATCACGTGTGGTAACGCCGTGCTCAACAACAACCGCAATCGCTAGCCAGACTAGATCAGAAATTCCGATATTTTGGTTATCACCAAACAACTCTTCCGATCTCCTCGACTCTATCTTTTGATTTCTCTCGGTGGGTACAAATCATATTGGTAGGTGTTACTGGTAGAAGCGTTGCCAAACACTGAATACCTGTGACATCATCAAAACGGTTCGCTTGGTATCTACTTCCCAATTTCCATAGTTTGGAAAAATTTTGGAGAATTTTGAGGAAATCCCGAAAGTCAAAAGACCTTCACCAAGGTTTAGGGGAAGGTTTGGGGAAATATTGAGGTTTTGGTGCCATTTCCCCGAAATTTCCCTGAAATGAGTCAAATATTCCACGAAATTGAGAGATTGGGTTGGCTGAGTATAAAGACTGAATAAAGTCGATTTAATGATCTCAAACAAACTGTAGGCGTAAGACCTATTTAAAGCTGCGAGACATGTTTAATCTGTTCCTTGGCGTATTTATTAAATTTAAAGATACTGGTAAAATTATTCCAGTACGTACAGTAAACAAATACAAGGCTGTATGCTTATTTCATGACGAATATTAGCTTCCTATCATTGACGTCATGTAAACGTTGTAAAGTTACGCTGCAATAATTTTATTTTTAAAGTGCTGAACTTACAACAATGTTGAAGAACCGCTGCAGTTGCTACGATACAAAAGTTATTTCAAACAAAATGTTCAGCCTCAAGGATAAGATTTTTGACTTCAATATGTCTGCAAGCAAATGAAATAAGTAACGGCATTGAAAGTAGTGTATTCATTTATCGTTTCCCGTTAACACTACGGTCTAGTTGTCCTGACCATGAGCGTTGCCGTTAAAGCGCGTCTTTCCTGAATGTACTCATGTACAACAATTACTGTCAGTTTGGTCGACAACGAGTTCATGAAAAAATCGGCATTCTGCGTGAAAAGAGCTTTTTTGAATGACAATTCATATGTATTACTGGTATCACCAGTTTGAATTTTAGACCAGAGTGGGAGACCGTATCGAAGGCCTGACTTAGATCTATGAAGATCACATCCACAGGGATATTTCGATCTCTTAAAATGGGAAGATTTGTCAAGCGTGATAGGCCTCTTCGAAAACCACGTTATTCCCTGGAGAAAAGATTATGGCCTTCAACATAGTTTGTGATAGACATCCGAATGATTTTTTCCATCAGTTTTACAACTGCACTAGTTAAGCTAACAGACCTGTAGTTGCTAACTAAATCCCTACTCCCGACTTTATACACCGAACTTATTATAGAGTCTTTCCAGCCTCTGGGCAGTCTGGACTGCCATAGAGACACGTCAGGCAGTATCACTAATGGTTCAACAATTTCATCTGATATGGTTTTCATAATCCTAGGATGAATAACATCTTATCGTTACTATCTTATTGCCTTATCTCTTACTTCCGTCTAGGACTGATCATTTGCGAGTACATCCGAAGAAAGTCCAAAAATCGGGATCAAATCATCTACGTCTGGGGTTTCGTTTTTCTCACCGAGTAGTGAATTACTGGAATTAGTTAGGGAATTTAATTAGATCGGTTGGAATCAACGTTCCACTCACTGGCGATTGTCCATTTATCCTGGTTCAAATGGAGGTGGTGTGTGCATAATAACTGATGGATAGACTTTCTGTTAACTAGAGTTTTTGAAGATAAATTCTTTAAACGAACATCATAGTATCATGGCAGGTTTCCTGTCTGTTTTGTCAAACTCCTGCCCACAGTCAGGTTCATTTTTACGCACGCGCATTTCGCTTTCTTGAAGAAGGCAGATCAGAAGTATGGTGGCGAATGGGTAAGGGACCATGTGAATAGAAGGATTCAAAACAGCTCAAAGTTTAAGAATATGTATATTTCAATTACGTAGTAAGGGGGTGAACTTATCCGCAACGCAACCATGTAAACTTAATGTATCGCCCAGGGTCATCTGTGCGTTCAAGTAACCACAGATTTTGTCATTTCATAATGTATTTTTAATTAAATGACTAGATTATGTAGTTATTTTTGCTCTGTCCGACTGCGTTACACTTCACGTCCATTACACGCTGGTATGATATCTCAAATCATAGTGAGTTTATTCACATAGTTGATTGTTTTCAGATCGACTGTCAGTGCATGATTTTACTGAAGAAAGGTTTGTTGTACTGTAAACTGTGTTTCTGTGAACAACTCCCTGTTGTCTTCAGTATGAAATCAATATATATGTATCCTTCTTTTTTTCTTAGGTAAGTTCAACTGGCCTATATTTCGTGTTTTGGTTTTTTTCGGCTTCATTATGTCCATTTAACTACTTTGAGCGACATGTCTGTGTAAATGAAACAATAACTATGACACTTGGTTAGTTTAGTGTTCTTGGTTGTCGTATAATTCAGTTTAGTTGAAAGAATTATGATATACTTAAGTATAGTGCTTGAAGCCTGTAACGAAACAGATCAGTTTAGTAAGTAGAGTTGCCTGTTTCTAATGTGTATACGTATTCAGATCAGTCTGATTAAAAATAGGAAAAAAGACGTGCCTTTGATGCTGTTACTGTCATACATTATAAGATAGCGATAAGTATATACTTAAACATGTGTTTGGTGTTTA